ACTAAAGATCCCACATGCAGTAACTAAGACTGGGCACAGCCTAATCAATTAATTAACTAATTTTAAAAAGGGAATCTTCAGAACTATTCAGGAACCACAGCTAATTGGTGCATATGAATGATAATAAGGCAAATCTGATCAGTCATTTTTAAGGAGTTGTTGTTCAGTAGCTGAATCATGTCCGACTCTTTGCAACCCCATGGACTGTAGCACACCAGACCTCCCCGTCCTTCACTATCTTCCACAGTCTGCTCAAACTCATGTCCATTGAGTTGGTGGTGCTGTCTAGCCATCTCATCCTTTCCATCCTCTCCTCCTTTTGTCTTCAATCTTTTCCAGCATTAGGGTCTTTTCCAATGAGTGAGCTCTTTGCATCAGGTGGCCACAGTATTGGAACTTCAGCATCATTTAAGGAGGGAACCCAGTAATTTTAAGGCAGAAGAGGGTGTCAGTTGGTCTGGACCTTCACAGCCTCTGTTAATTCCACAAGTATTCACGGAGCTCCTCTGTGCACCAAGCAGCATGTGTGATGAATGCAATGGAGTACCAGGTTTCAAGACACACAAGAAATCTAATCCCCTTTCACTCACATCCTCAGAATAATTGCTTAATTCTCAGATGTGTTCCCTGTGTAGATAGATACACCATGCCATGCTGTTGCTCAGTCGTGTCTGACTCTTTGTGACCCCGTGGACTGCAGCCCACCAGGCCCCTCTGTCCATGGGATTCTCCAGGCAAGAGTACTGGAGTGGGTGGCCATGCCCTCCTCCAGGGGATCTTCCCAACCCGGGGACTGAACCCACATCTCCCGCATTGCAGGCCGATTCTTTACCATCTGAGCCACCAGGGAAGCCCAAGAAATCTGGAGTTGACAGCCTATCCCTTCTCCAGGGGAACTTCCCAACCCAGGAGTAACACCCGGGTCTCCTGCATTGCAGGAGGATTCTTTACCAGCTGAACTACCAGGGAAGCCCAGATACACCATGTGAGTGAGTAATCAGAGAAAAGGGCCTAATAATCTTGGCCCACATGGAATCATGGGAAGCACTATTACAAAGAAGCCAAGAGCCTTGTGGGGAGGAGGCCTTGGTGTAAACACTTCAGCTCTGCCACTTACTAGCTGTGGCTTTGTGTGCAAGTTATTTGTCCTCATCTGTTAAACAGGAATAACATCCAGTGTTACACATAATGTAAAAAGACTCCCACACTGTGCCATTCACAAAGCAAGTGTTCAGCAACAGTAAAACCCTCAGGATATGTAAACAAGCAGTCAGTCAATTCAGATGCTCAGTCGTGTCTGACTCTTTGTGACCCCATGGACTGCAGCACACCAGGCTTCTCTGTCCATCACCAACTCCCAGAGCTTGCTCAAACTCATGTTCATCAAGTCAGTGATGCCATCCAACCATCTCATCCTCTGTCATCCCCTTCTCCTCCTGCCTTCAATCTTTCCCAGCATCACGGTCTTTTCCAACAAATCAGTTCTTAGCATCAGGTGGCCAAAGTATTGGAGCTTCAGCTTCAGCATCTGTCCTTCCAAAGAATATTCAGGACTGATTTTCTTTATGACTGACTGGTTTGATCCCCTTGCAGTCCAAGGGACTCAATATGAAACTAACAGAGCAGATGCTCAGTTCACAAGGCATAAGCCCTCAAACAGGCCCTGTGTTGTCTGAGGAGCCCACAGGAGGAGTCAGGGAGAAAGGTCTCAGATTTTTGAAGCGAGTGAGTGAATACCAAGGACCAGCCATGTTAGTTACTTTATTCCACTTCATCCTCACAACAGTCCTGTGAGGTGGGAACTGCCCCCATGTTACAAATGAGGAAACTGAGGTTACGCAAAGTTGACCTGACCAAGGTCACACAGCAAGACAGGAGTCCAGCTTTATCTGACTCCAGTGTGAGTGCTTTTTCCTCTGAGTCCACTGGCTCTCAAAGTCCAGGCTCAGAAGAGCAGTATCAGCACCAGTTGGGAACTTCTTAGACACATGTACCCTCAGCCCCTCCCCAAACCACTGAGTCAGAAACTCGAGGAGTGGGACCCAGGCATCTGTGTTTCACCGAGCCCGGCAGATGATTCTGATGCACACTCCGGTTTGGGAACCACTGCCCTGAGCCGTGCATTCCCTCTTCAGTGAGGATCCGGCTCCTTATTCTGTATTTAACACAAAGCAGGGAAGAAAGTCCTTGGGTTCAGAACGCGAGCTTTCACTGACTTCTCAGCAATGATGAATCAAGCATCCTAAACAAGCCCCCTCTTGCGCCACTTCAGCCCAAGACGCACATAGTGAGAAAAAGTAGAAATTAATGCTGGGAACCATTTTTCATATTTTTAAGTCCCTTGAGCATCCCTCTGTAGGTAGCAAAGCTTTCCAGCTTACTGTTGTCACAATTGGTGGCATTACCCTCTACCATGCTACCTGATCTTGGGCAACATGACACATTTAAGAAGCTCCTACTGGGTGCCAGACTGAAAGAAGAGTGGGGAACAAAACTAGCAAAGCCTCCCCTCAAGGAGCATACGATCTGCTTCCTCCTGGCATTGGACACCGTTGACCTTCCCTAGAATCCCTGAACTCTCAAGACAGGGGACCAGTTAGGAATCCCCTCCTCTTCCATCTGCTCACCACCACCATCCACCTTTTTTAGGATGGAAATAGCTGTAACTCCTAAACAAAGGTGTTATCAGGACAAACAAGACAATTTACTCAAAGCCTCCCCAGTTCACACACAGCTTATCCACCCAAGTGTTGTCGCTGGCCAAACAAGCAGTGATCAGAGAGAAGCTAGTTTAGCTTGGAGGAGCAGTTTTCCAAGCAATCACTGACCAGGAGCCCAAGACTCTGAAATCATTCTGGCCCTCAGGCTGTATACGCATGGACCTCGACTTGGGTCTGAAGAATCAAGCCAGGACCCATGGCCGTGGGTACTTTGGTTTTCTGAGTTCTATGGGTAATGGATGCCAGAGACATTAGAAACCATCAGCCTTGCTGGCTAAAGGGCACAACTCCTGAATATGCTCTTTATTGACTATATAAGAATCATATTGCTTCTCATGGAAAATAAGTACTATTTGAACAATAAAAGCACCCCTAATGCATATTCCACCTGCTGCCAGCCAGGACTTTGAAAGCCTTTACCTTCACTGAACGATTCCAGCTGGCATTCTCCTTTGTGTTGGCTGTTATGGGCTGTAAAGACAGATCCATAGGTGAAGGTCAGTTTTTTAAGAAAATGGAGAAATCTTGCCCTCTCAACTCGACACACATTTCTCTTTTCTTCCCCCTTTCCTACTGGAATTAATGGGGATCAAGTTCACTAAAAAATCAACTTTAAAGCTTTTAGGTAATTCTGGCCTGTACACTGACTGACTGGAAAACTCACTTCATCTGAAAGAGGGGAATCAATATATGGGGGAGGAGGGGTGATGTGTTTATAATATTTTTGTTTTCCTGCCCCTTGTTTAACTCACAGGCAATTTCCAGAATAAAATTCTTACATGTTTTTTCCATCAAGTGGAGAACTTGAATCAATATTAATGGCAGAGTTTTTCCTTATTTAAAATTCCCTCCCACCTCACAATGTGTCTGCTACAAGTTTGTGTCATAAATCCCGGCATAAAATTCCCTGTAGCTTGACTTGCCCATAAATGTGGAGCATGTAGTCATGTTAAATGATTCCTGACCTGAACATAAATTTCCTGTAGTCTAGGGGCACTTTAAGAAGAGCTAATATGTTCACCTGCTTGTTTTCCAGGCAATAAACCCAGACAGGTGAAATGAGGAGGAAATTTAAATAAGATCAAAAGGTAGGTTCAAAAGAATAGACAGAGCCATCTGGAATGCCTCGGTGTTGCCAAACTCAAATACAAGACCCAGTGGAATTTTAAACAGAATTTCTAGTTTCCCCTTCTTTCCAGCCTTGACTTTTCTTTGGGAGGAAGCTCATTGTCCAAGAGGTTGGGTCAGACACTGGCAAGAGGAAAAAGGTGAATTTCTTCTAAGCCCGTTGTTGACAACCTCTTTCTCCTCTTCATTCCCTTGGCCTCCCACCCTTGTTACCTCAATATGTGTTTAGCTGTGGCTAGCATTTTATGTTGCAGAATGAGCTTAGAGTTAGGAACGTATTTGCTGAGTTAATGTAAGGGGACCATTTTACTTTGGATTTCAATTGATTCACAACACTGTATTGCTGAAAAGAATTTGAAAAGAAATAATTGCACAGGTAGGAGTATAAATTGGTACCGCCTTCAAAACAATTTGGTGATATGTATCAAAATCTCTAAAATTATGAACACTATTTTACCCAGTTATCCCACTTCTATGAATTCATCCTAAAGAGATAACTGTACAAAGGCAAGAAGATACATGAACAAGGCTGTTCACTGGAATGTGTGAAAAAGTTGGAAATAATCTAAATGCTCAATAATGAGATTAAGTAAGTTCTCATGTATTGAAAATTAAGAATACTATATATAGTCACTAAAATGATGGAGAATGAATCCGAGCCCCCGGTCCCCGGAGTCAGCCGTGTGTACTGTGTGCTCAGCGCCGTCCGACAGCTCCTGGCCAAACTTCGCCAATTCTGCTGCCTTTGTCGCCACCATGCCCAAGACGATCAATGTGCGTGTGACCACCACGGACGCTGAGCTGGAGTTTGCCATCCAGCCCAGCACCACCAGCAAGCAGCTGTTTGGCCAGGTGGTGAAAACTATCGGCCTGAGGGAAGTTTGGTTTTTCGGTCTGCAGTACCAGGACACTAAGGGTCTCTCTACTTGGTTGAAACTCAACAAGAAGGTGATTGCTTGCTCCACTGCCACATTTGGAATTCACTCTTCTACTAGACTTTGCTCAGGAGTGTAAAATGTGCAAGCTGGCAATTCTGCTGCCTTTGTCGCCACCATGCCCAAGACGATCAATGTGCGTGTGACCACCACGGACGCTGAGCTGGAGTTTGCCATCCAGCCCAACATCGCCAATTCTGCTGCCTTTGTCGCCACCATGCCCAAGACGATCAATGTGCGTGTGACCACCACGGACGCTGAGCTGGAGTTTGCCATCCAGCCCAACACCACCGGCAAGCAGCTGTTTGGCCAGGTGGTGAAAACCATCGGCCTGAGGGAAGTTTGGTTTTTTGGTCTGCAGTACCAGGACACTACGGGTTTCTCTACTTGGTTGAAACTCAACAAGAAGGTGACTGCCCAGGATGTGCGGAAGGAAAGCCCTCTGCTTTTCAAGTTCCGGGCCAAGTTCTACCCTGAGGATGTATCTGAAGAGTTGATCCAGGACATCACACAGAGACTATTCTTCCTGCAAGTGAAGGAGGGCATTCTCACGGATGATATTTACTGCCCACCTGAGACTGCTGTGTTGCTGGCCTCCTATGCTGTCCAGTCCAGGTATGGTGACTTCAGTAAGGAAGTCCACAAGTCTGGCTACTTGGCTGGGGACAAGTTGCTCCCACAGAGGGTCCTGGAGCAGCACAAGCTTAACAAGGGCCAGTGGGAGGAAAGAATCCAGGTGTGGCATGAGGAGCACCGGGGCATGCTCAGGGAGGATGCTGTCCTGGAGCATCTGAAGATAGCCCAGGATCTGGAGATGTATGGTGTGAACTACTTCAACATCAAGAACAAGAAAGGCTCAGAGCTGTGGCAGGGGGTGGATGCCCTGGGTCTCAACATCTACGAGCAGAACGACAGGCTGACTCCTAAGACAGGCTTCCCCTGGAGTGAAATCAGGAACATCTCTTTCAACGACAAGAAATTTGTCATCAAGCCCATTGACAAAAAAGCCCCGGACTTTGTTTTCTATGCTCCTCGGCTGCAGATTAACAAACGGATCTTGGCTCTGTGCATGGGGAACCATGAGCTATACACGCGCCGTCGCAAGCCCGACACCATTCAAGTACAGCAGATGAAGGCACAGGCTCGGGAGGAGAAGCGCCAGAAGCAGATGGAGCGTGCTCTGCTGGAAAATGAAAAGAAGAAACGTGAGATGGCAGAAAAGGAGAAAGAGAAGATTGAACGGGGAAAGGAGGAACTGATGGAGAAGCTGAAGCAAATCGAGGAACAGACTAAGAAGGCTCAACAAGAACTGGAAGAACAGATCCGCAGAGCTCTGGAACTTGAACAGGAGCGAAAGCGTGCCCAGAGTGAGGCTGAAAAACTGGCCAAAGAGCGTCAAGAAGCTGAAGAGGCCAAGGAGGCCCTGTTGCAGGCCTCCCGGGACCAGAAGAAGACCCAGGATAGGCCCTCAGTTCAGAGCTGGCCAATGCCCGTGATGAGTCCAAGAAGACTGCTAATGACATGATTCATGCTGAGAACATGCGACTGGGTCGAGACAAATACAAGACCCTGCGCCAGATCCGGCAGGGCAATACTAAGCAGCACATTGATGAGTTTGAATCTATGTAAAGGGCACCTAGCCCCTAGGGACCCCTCCTCCCTTCTTCCTTGCTCTCACATTCTTATACTGTTGCCTAACTCACACTGTGCTGGAGCCATTAACTAGAGCAGCCCTGAAGTCACACCAAGCATTCAGTGCAACCATGGGACCAAACCTAGCCCCTCAATCCTTACTCACTTCCCTAGGCAGAGAGATGGTCACTATGGTGCCAATGAGATCCTCTTTTTCCTCTGTCCTGGGTGATCTGGCTTGCTAGAAGAGAACACTTTCTCAGCTCAGAGGCACTTCCCACTTGTTTGGGAAACACCCTCACATCTAATGCTGCTCTGCGGGGGTCAAGTGTGGAGTAGGTTGAAAACTGGCCCTCACCCCTGCCCCACCACAGCCTTCATCATCATGGTCTTGTGATTTGCAGAACTGAAGCATCACATGTTTAGAGATGAAGCCAGGGCCCTGGCTACATGCTCTAGAATGTCAACGGCCCTCGGATTAGGCCTCCCAATGTCCATTCCTTCTAGAGTTACTTAGGCTTTGTAATGATTGGAGGCTAAAAAGATGTGCAGTCATTCTTCTCTCTACCTCCCAGATTGGGCCTGTTACAAACTCAGTCCCAATAAGCCTTGTCCCTGAATTCAGACACTCATTCTCCTCTTCAGCGTGATATGGGGGAGAATATGCCTTCAAGAGGCTTCCCCAGCATCCTGGAAGACTGTTAGCCCTTCTGTTCAGACATGATTGGGTAGAGAATATGCCTCTATGTTTTATGGGAGCCTAGGCTTATTTCAGGTGAGCTCTATGGGCAGAGATATCTCTTACTTATTATTCTGTGTTCCTCTTCCCTTCTTGGGACCTGCCCTTCCCCACTCCAATCCACAAATCCCCTCAGGTAGAAGAATAGGGATAGTTATTCCCAAACCCAGCCAGCCACATCTAGGACTCTTGCCAAGAGGAGGAAATATTCACATGTGGCTTCAGTTTTTTCACCTCTAGGGGTCCCAAACCACTTCTCCCTTCAGGGCTAGTTGGGTCACAACTTCTGCTTTAGGGTCATTAAGGCCTTGGTTTGGTGAGTCCTGGATCTTGATGTCAGTTGGCTCAGTTGGTGAGTGTGTGGAAGAAGCCAAGTGTGGTGAGAGAAGCTTGTGGCCCAGATCCTACAGTTTGCTTTGAGCCCTACAAGGTGCCTAACAGCCCCTTCCCATCACCCCTCTCTAAGGTGATGATTGGGTCCTGCCTCTGTTTAATAAACCTTTAACCCAGATCTTGCCACCAGATGTGCTGTCCCTTGGAGCTGTAAACCAGAGAGCTTTTAGGGGTTCTGGTCTGGTCCCTTTCGCGCCCCCACCTCTTTCTCTCAACCCAGGAGCAGCATCCTCTTCCTCTCTGTCTCATGTGTGCTCTTTTTCTTTCTACCAGTGTTATATATTTTAGCGGCATCTAACTCAACATTGATTTCTGCATTTCTTGCGAATGCACCCTTAGAAGATACTAGTCTTGGGACAGGATCATTTTGGCCTCATTCCTTTACCACCCCTACACCTAGGAAGCATATTTTGCCAGAAAAATTAATGTAAGTAGCTTTCAGTATTAGTGATATCATCTGTCACTGTAGGTCATACAATCCTTTTTTAAAGTACTTGCTATTTGGTTTTATTGTTCCCCCTTTTTTTCCTGCCTTATTCTCAAAGTTCATTCCACAAAGGGGCCCCACTGTCCTTCCATGCAGTGCCCCTAGCCCAGAGCCCATGGCTTTGATCCCTCCATCCCCTTGCCTTCTGTTTGACCTTGGGAAGTCTTATGTGCTTTGCTGTGTATTATATTGACACTCTGTTGGTGATGTGCCCTATATTTGCTAAATTCAAACCTGGAATTATGGGGCAATCCAGCTGCCTTAAAGGTAGTATCCACCCCACCACCACCCCACTCCCCACCAGGGGAAGCTGGGGAGAAAGATTAGATTTTATATTCAGGGTTTTTTTGTGCATCTTTTGGGGGTTTTTTAAATTTGTTTTTGGAGGGGTTTATGCTTAACCCATGTTCTATTTCAGTGCCAATAAAATTTAGGAAGACTTCAAAATAAAATAAAATAAAATGATGGAGAATGAAGATTTTGATAAGAACATCTACTTACAGTAAGTAAAAAAAGGCAAGTAACAAAACAATGTATATAGTTATTACCTCTCAAATATATACACACACATATATAAATGACTTATGAAATGTCTCCTATGAAATTAATTTTAACAGGCCACACATGATGAAGTTCAATAAATACACATCAAGCAATTGTCATGCAAAACCACCACTATGTTTTCTCTTCCAATTATAGTGAAGTAAAATCAACAAATATTTTTCATGAAGATTTGGGCCTTTAAAGCCTCTTCAATATTGGGCTCATTATCCTCATCCTATTTTGGTCCACATGACATACACCCTTCTCCCACTTTGAAATGTTTTTCATTGAAAAAAACAGGTTTTATTTGTGGGAGTTGTTAGGAGCCCTGACATAAATAAAGACACACATCAAGGACAGCTATTTCCACATAGTGTCAAAAAATATTTCATTGTAGTGGCTTCTCTTGATTGAAGGCCAAAGCCTGAATTGGAATTGAGTAAAAAAGAAAAAAAAACTGACAAGTAATTTTCTCTAAAACAGATTTAGTATGCATTTCTATGAAAGAGCTTTACACACATTTCCATTCTAATTAAAAGCATAATTGGTAACATATGTCTTTATGCTAGGAATATTTTGGTAAAGGAAGTTCAAAGACTGGCAATTACATACATCTCTGAGAAGACTAATTATTCACTTTAAGGAGTAAAACAAAAATGTTTGAACAAGCAACAACAAAAGCAATTATCGATATTCACTTTTGACATCTAATTCTCCAACCTAGGGGACTTACTACAAAGGATGTCATCAGATGGAAATCAATGACAAGACTCTAACTTTATAGTGGAACCTTCAACACCAGCTGCCCCATAAAATCACCACCTCGCTAGTGACCCTCATTTAACATGCCTAGTTGGGAACTGGACATCAGAGTTTCTCAAAAACTTCTTAAGGACTCTACTATGTAATAATTTAGAAGACCTGGACCTTGATAATTTATTTCCTCCATGAGCAATTATTCAGGAGACTGAAATAAATGAAGTGTTACAGTTTGAAAGGGCCTTAAAACATCATCTAATCCAACCTTTATTTTGGAGAGGGGGACACCGAGGCCTGGCAAATTCCTTGTAACAGCTTCTTGATTTTCTTATTTTGGTGACAAAGAGAAGCAGTGAGATCAGATTTCCTTTCCCACCTGTTATGGCCACAATTCTCAACCATTTTCCCCCACATATGCACAAAGTTCTACAGCCACCATTTCCCTGCTCAGCAAGCAGGATTTTATGTTTTTAATGAGAATTGAGACGAAAGCTCTCATTTGTTGAATGCTTCTGGTCCATGGGATGTTACCTCACACCATCACAACTCTATAATGCAGGAATTATTTTATTCCCAGTTTATAGATAAGGAAACTGAGGCTCAAAGGGTTAAATGATTTGCCTGCCTAAAATAGCAGAACTGGAACAAGAACCTACCTCTACTCAACTACAAGGTGCTCTACCCTGAGCAAACCCAGAGACCAGAATTCTGATTTTTATTTCTTTAGAGATGAGATCTCAGAAGAGCCTCTTCAAATATCTTCATTTCCTTAAGTGCTGCCAAGATGGCAGGAAGGGAAAGAATAGTAATTCAGTGGGCAAAGGAGAAGAATCAAGCTTTTTATACCAAGGGTACAGGCTTTGCTGAACAAACACTGTAAGTGAACTACATGGGCCTTTACTTGTAGAACCAAAATACAGCTGGGGGCATTCAGCATGCATGGGAAGAGGCTTTGCTGTGATCACGTGCAAGCCACAAGCAAGCACGGCTAGGACTGATGTTCTCTGCCACGTGCTAGGGGTTCCGTCTGTCCTTCTGCACAAGCTTCTCAACCTACTTGGAACTCCCGTCCCCTCCTCCTTTACTTGGCTAACTCTTGCTCATCCTTTTAACACTCAACTATCATTTGCTTGACCTGGGCCTCTCTGACCTCTGAAGGCCGATTACATAGTCCTCCTCTGTGCACCCATAACATCCAGTGACCCTGCACCCAAAACACACGAGGCTGACTTGTCTGTCTGCGCCTATGCCTGTCACCGAAACACCAGTTCCCTGAGGTAAGGGCTGTGCAGACCAGCGCTTAGCTCATTCCGCAGCACAGAGCTGGCACTTAATACATGTGTGTGGAAGCAATACACAAATAAGAGGTAAATATGGACTCCATTCACGTAAGTGGATGGCATAAACCATCCAAATGGACAGAACGGAGAAAATAAGTTGTAATTTTCACAGCTGGCATAAGAATCTTAGAAAGGGAAATCGTTTGGTCTGAAAAATCATTTTAAAAAAGACTGGATGCACAGTGAGACCTTCTCCTCTCTCCCCATTTTACTCCTCTCCCCTTGTACAATGGAATGAATGTTGATATCCCCCACCAAATTCATATGTTGCAATCTATTCCTTCAACACAACGGTTGTTGGAGGTGCCTTTGGGAGATGACTAGGTCATGGGGGTGGTACTGTTTTGAATGGAAGGAGTGCCCTTATAAAACAGACCCCAGAGAGGTCCTCCCCCTTCTACCACGCGATGTTCCAGCAAAAAGATGGCTCTCTGTGAGTCAGGAATCAGGTTCTCACCGCTGAGCCTGCCAACAGCTTAATCTTGGACGTGAGTTCAGTCACTCAGTTGTGTCCGACTCTATGCAACCCCATGGGCCGCAGCATGCCAGGCTTTCCTGTCCATCACCAACTCCCAGAGCTTGCTCAAACTCATTGAGTCGGTGATGCCATCCAAACATCTCGTCCTCTGTTG